TGGGTGTCTGGGGAGGGGACAGATAGGACAGGGAAGAGCAGCAGAGGCTGTCTTACAAAGCCTTAATTGCCAGTGTTAGGAGCTAGGGATACCAGTGGATGGAGGGGAGAAAGTAGTTAAAAGCTGAGGAATGAGTTGATTAGATCTGTGTTTTCAAGAAGCCATCTGGGAGCTGATGGGGAGATTGGTGATGCAGACACTATTAGGTGCCTGCCCAATGCTCAGTCACCCCTTCTTTTTAACAGACCCTGGTTTTGTTAGGGGAGAAAATGTATTCCACAGGATAAATATGTGTCCCAGCCTCCTTTGAAGTGAGGGGTGGCCATGTATTAGTCTGGTCAAGGAGATAAAATCAAAGGGTGCTTAGTACAGATTCAGTACTTTGTGGCTTTTCTCTTCCTCCTGCCTGACCACTAGTGTGATGGCAGGAGCTGAAATCACCATTTTGCAACCATGAGGGAAAAGTCTAGAGAATTGATAGATCCCAAATGTGACTTCAGACCCACCTTTACTCATCTCCAAAACTGGGACTAAGTAACAGATGACTAAACCCCTGTTTGGTTTAAGCCCTTATCATTTAGGTTTTCTGTTACTTGTGCTCAAAATCCTGCATGGTCCAGATGGGCAACAGGCATGGTGGAAAAGGGTAAGGGCCCCTCTGCATTTTGTTTCCTGATTCCCTTCACACCACCAACCCTCTAGTCTTTCCTGCCCAGCCTTTGCCACTTCGCAGCTGGCCTGGCCCTCTCTCCTCCAAACAAATGTCCATGCCAAGACCCAGTGGAAATTAGGTTTGTAGGCCCAAGTCTACAAAGAGCTGCGTCTGGCAAACCCTGAAAGCCCTCAAGCTCCATCCCCACCCCATCCTCGCAAGCCAAGACATCGGTCCACAGTATCTGGGACTAGTGGACAAGGAGCCCAAGGGTGCTGCTGTGACTCTGGAAAGCATGGGGATCCCTCCTAGCCCATTCTGCTCCAAATGGCTTAGTCTGAGGGGCCTCCTGAAGACCTCTCCCAGGCTACCAACATTAACACCAGACTCCCTGACTCCACTACAATGCTCCGGACAGCCTGTAATTCATGGCTTTGTTGTTTCCAGAGTAGAAATTGGACACAGATGTGCCCAACTGGTGGGGAATGAGAAGATATAAGGGCTGGAGGAGGATCCTAACAGCCCTTCCTTTTCGTCACAAGAATCCATGTCCCATACTTTGGGTAGGTCCTACCTAGGACTATAGTTGCTAATATACTGGCCACTTTATACTGAGCATGGGCTATGTGCCAGGAATTGGCATTGAGCTTTACATACATCATCACACTGAATCCTCACAGAAGAGCTATTATTTCCATTTTACAGAAAGTAAAACTGTCAGGTTACTTATCCATGGTCACAGAGTTTTCAGGATCCAAACTCCCATTTGGCTGACTCTAATACCCAAGCTTTTGCCATTCAGTTGCTGTCAATGCACCACTATTTTGATGAGCCGAGCCAAGCTAGACCTCCTAAGGGCCTGTAGGAGAAGCCAGGGTAGAAAAGGGTTGAAAAAAATAGTAGGTAATAACAATTGTCTATTCTGAGTGGCAAGTGTATGATATTACCCTCTGTGCTTTTTCTGTATTTTAAAACTTTCTCAAAATAAAAACTATTTCAAAAGAAAGATATGAAGGAAAGAAGACAAGAAAGCACAGGACTGGATCAGAGGATGGGGCCAGGGCTCAGACCAGGCCTAGGCTGGAGTGGGGCCTGGGCAGAGGCTCAGAGCAGCCCTTGCACACAGGAGCTCCAGTGTTCCCTGGGCTCGGCTATCATCCAAGAGCAACATGGTCATGGGCAGCACCAGGTGATATCCATTACCTTTCCCCAACTCTGCACCCAGGCAGGTAGGGAGTAGGGCACGGCCTCAGGAGTTCCTCCTGGCCCAACCTTGCACTCCAGGAGTCCAGAGTCTGCAAATCCCTACCTAGGGCCTGGTACTTCACAGGTGCCCCATCAGTATTGGCCAAATGGGCAGTGAGAGCAATGCCCAGACCCAGCCACCCCACACCTTCACCTTTGGGTAAATCTCTACCTTCCTGGGTGGCAGTTATGGATAGGGGCAAAAGGTAGGCTGACATGGTGGGATCAATAATCCCAGCTCTGTGGAGAATCACCCTGAACTCTCCCTTTGTCCCAAAAGATTAGGGTTCAAGTCTCAATTCTGTTGTTCAGTTGCTATGTGACTTCAGACAAGTCATTCCATCTGCCTAAGCTTCTGTTTCCTGACTTGCAAAATAGAGCTAAGAATTCCTACCCCATTTGGCTTGGAGGAAGGAACTAAGGATATAATGCATAAAACACCTAGCTTAGCATGGTGCCTGGCACATAGTAGGAGCTCAGCCAAGGAAAGGACTTCTTCTTTCCTACTTTCTGTTCTGGTGAAACGCATTCCTATCTCTCTACTCACTTCCTCTTGGGGAAAAGGAAGCAGGAGTATGCCCATTTTCTGGAGGGAGAAACAGAAGCTGAGGCAGTCTACAAAAAGGATAAGATGTCAGGTTCTTGAGCCCCTGCGAGGGGTGTGTGAGTGATGTGAGTCTTCAAGAGGCTTAGAGACTGCAAATGTGACTATTGAAAGACTATTAGCAAGAGGGTAAAGCCTCTCCCAGTCTCCTTTTGTGCTTTGTTTACTTACCTCTCCCTACTACTATGTCAGCAGGTCCTTCAAGAGTAGAAGCTGGGTCTATTTACAGCTCTATCCCCAGAATTGAGAACAGTGCATGCCATAAAATGACCCCTTAATAAACACTTGGCATAAGTGAATGAATGAATGACCTTGTGAGAAAGCAACAGATTCTGCAGAAAGGGTCAGTGTGAGAAGTTGTGAGTGTACGTGTGTGTGATGGTGGTGGGGGGGGCAGATAAGGAGTGTGTGGGTGTTAGGGTGGAGGTGTGGGGGCATGAGCTTACCTGTCTAAGGAACTGGGCATCTCAGGAGGCCAGGAAGTTGCATAACCTAGGCTATGGACGCTTTTACTCGCCTTTGGCTCAGGTAAACTGGAGAAGCCCTGGGAAGTTGAATGAAAGCTGTGTGGGGTCCAGCTCCTGCTGGCAGCTCACTCAGCACCCCCATCCCCACCAACCAAAAAAAACTACCCACATTCAGGAAGGGAGGTCAACAGAGGACAAGAGATGGGGGAGTCTGAGAGGTCTGGTGAGGCCCCTCTGAGCAGGAGGCTCCAGTTTGCTGAGCATCCCCAGTGCCAGGAGTGCTCAAGGAAGGACCTGAAAGAAGGGAATCAGGACAGGCTATTTTTAAGATAGTCAATTATTTCTTGGTTTATCTTTGGGAGGAGACCCGTTCTTTTGTTTGAGGAAACAGGGGGAAAATTGCCTTAATTAATGGGCCTCTTAGTTATGCAAAGTAACAGCCCTATCCCATTGGGAGTAAGGGTGGAGAGCTGGGCACCTCTGCATAACAATGGGAAAGGAAGCTTCTTCCTCTAGGGCAGGGTCTCCACCCTGCAGAGGGATAACTGGGAAGTGAGTCTGAGACCCTAGGTGAGCAGTTTCCTTTCACCTCGAGGAGCCTTCAGAGTGGAGAGGTTGGACGTCAAGTGAGGGTTGGGTGGAAATCAAAGGTCAGCAGACATAATTTGGCCACTGTCTAGATGTTCAGGAGAGAGGTGTTCGCAGGTAGGCCTGACCCAGGTGGGGCAGATCTATCTGGGGGGCACCTATTGTGTGCCGGGTACTTGAGATATAATGGTGAGTTCTGCCTTCTACTTTCAAAATTGTTCAGTTACGAGTCTGGAATGTGTGAAGAAATAACAGGTCCTAAATAATTATAGTTAACATTACAAAGCAAATGCTATATGCCAGGCAGTGTTCCAAAGGCTTACATATATTAACGTTTACTTTTTGCAGCAATTTGTGAGGATGATACTATCATTATACCTATTTTACCTATGAAAGAATGAAGGACACAGAGGAGTAACCTGCCAAGGCCGTGTGATGGTGCTGAGATTTGAGTCCTGAAAACTGTCCTCTGAATCATTTCACTCCCTACCTCTTTCTCCGTGTTTATAGGAGCCAAGGCATCTAAGAGGAGCCTGGCAGGTCCACAGGGCTTCTCTGAGTGGGCCAAGACCCAATATGATGTAGAACTAAGCAGACCTGGAGGGGAAGGATTGTTCCAGGTGGAGCGAACTGAAAGGGTATCTCGCCACGACCCTCCTTACCCCAGAACGACTCAGGAGACACGGGCCCACGCAAGAGAGTTTATTATCTGAAAGAAAATGGCTGCCCCCAGAGAGAGGGAGCAGCAGGTCATGGGTGAGGAAGAGCATTTATAAGGACTGGGGGTAGGGTGTGTTCTGCGTTGGTGGTTGGATCTTAAGGGGTGGCGACCATCTGGTCAGTGGTGATTGGATCTTAAGAGGTGGGGGTCTTAACGCGCCAGAATTTGCTTTCAGGAACCATAAGTGCAAAGGCCCAGAGGTAAGGTTAAGAGCAAGGAATAAATGGATGAAGGATTCCTCTGGAGATGTGGGTAGGGGTCAGTTCATACTAAGATTATGGGAAGCTAGTGGAAAGTTTTAAAGGCGTAGTTGATACAGCCAGATTTGTATTTTAAATGATCACTTTGAAGGTTGTGCAGAGAACAGATGGGTATGGGAGCAGAGGGATCTCCTAGCCACTCTACGGCCATTGTGCAAAACACAGTGGTGCCAGGTTGGGCCAAGGTCTGAGGATGATGGCAGATCAGACTGCTGGGTCTTTTTCCCTGCGGGGTGAAGAGCTAGGGATAGAGTAATGGACCAGAAAACTCGGTCTGGGTGGGGCAAAAGAGGCAAAGTCTGAGGTTGTGTGTAACAGACTTGGTCGGGGCCCTGGAATTGGGTGGGCAGTGTCGGCGACTCGGCTCTGTTGGGTTCGGGGAGTGGTCTCCAGGTGGGCTGGACGCTGTGGCACCCGCAGCCACGCCGCTGTCAGAGTGGCGCTGGCCCAGGAGGGGCGGGCCTCGAGGTGGGCGGGACCCGAGGTGGGCGGGTGCTGGGCTGCCTGGGGCCCAGCCGCTGTCGCGGTGCTTTCCTACCTCTCCCGCCCCGGGCGGAGGAGTTCCCGGCCTGAGTCGGCTGTCATCGCTGGGCGCGAGGTCGGGGCTAGCGGGAGCTCGGAGCCGGGCCGCGGAGGACCCAGGTGAGCCGGGACTCGTGCCAGGAGCCGGGCCACTGAGGCTCGAGGGGAGCAGCGACTCCGTGTAGGCCCAGGCTATGCTCCCAGCCGCCAGGGGGCGAGCGGCGGCGGGGTTCCAGGAGCTGCTCCCTCCCAGCCCTGGGGACCGGAACGTCTGCTTGGCCGGGGGTGAGGGGAAGGTGATAGGATGGGTGGTGGGTGGAGGGGACGGTAAATCAGTAACCAGCAGCACACACAGGGCCTTTTGTCCCTCACTGTCCAAAGAGCACCCTGGCCGCGGACCTGGTTACTCATTGCCCACCTGGGCGGGGTGGGCCGGCGGTCTGCAGCTCCCCCTCGGGACGCGTGACAACTCGCACCTCCCCTTAGGGTGGCCGGGTAGACGAGAGGGAAGAGCCCGCTTGTCTCTCGGCTGCTGGATTGGATCATCCGCACGCCCGGAGTAGAGATGAGGAAGCTGAGGCTCCGAGAGGTGCAGTCATTTGCCCAGGGTCCCCCAGAGCTTGAGTGTGGGAGGCAGTAGGAGAACTCAGGACTGTCTGATGCAGTCAGGCTCTTTGGCTCCACGGTTGGTTGGTCAGCGGCCATGTGTGACCCTACTAAAGGCTGTGAGGTTCTGAGGGCAGGGCAGCCTTGGGACGGGAATAAAAACCCTGGGGCTCCCCAGTCCACTCCCAACTGGAGCAGTGGACTCAGAGAGCTGCCCTCTCTGTAAAGCAAAGCAGGGTGATGGGATTTTAGAGGAAGGACTCTGGAAATGGGCTGGCACAGAGACAGTGGCATCTAAGCCAGGTGGAGAAGAGAAAGAGGGGGCACAGAGGTGTGCACGGGAGAAGACCTGCCTAGTTTTGAAAGCCAATGGCTTTAGTGCTGAAGAGGCTGAAGGGGCAGATGGTGTGACCAAAAAGATTGACAATGGCAGGAAGGGAGGCCCCAGACGCTGGGTAAACAGTGTGGACTGAATCCTAATGGACACAAACAGGCCTTAAGGGCATGTAAGCTGGAGGAGGAGAGGTGGGTGACATGGCAGATGTGTCATTTTTAAAGCTCCTCTGGAGACCAGAGACTGGAGAGCCCAGGGAGATGTTTACAAAAGCCCAACCTAGGGACGACCGGGCCTGCCCTGAATCTAGGCAGGGGAGGTAGAATGGACAGGAGAGAGACTGAGGAGCCAACAAAATGGACTGGAAGTGGGGGAGGACTGAAGAGAGGGGACAGAAGTGATGTCCCAGCTGTGGGGGCAATCCAAGGATGGAGCAGTTTAAAGGGGCTTTGGCCAGGACCAGCTAAGTGCCCCTGCCTCAGACCAAGAGCTGGGTGGGGGGTCAGTGGCTGAGGAGAGAGGGTGCGGTGGGCTTCTGGACAGGGTAGATCCAGAGACACTAGTGCCACCTGTTACCCAGCCCCAGGTTAGGAGCCAGTAGGCCCTTGGAACTGCACTGGTCATCCTCTTCCCCTGCTCTAACTGGGGCTCCGTTTTGGGTGTTCGTTTTGGGAGATGGAGACATCCTTGGTGGCATGTGAAGGAGGGTAACTGGATGGGGTGGGCATGTACATCACGCCTGACGGGAACAGTGCCAGAACTGGAGGTGACTGGCCGAGGGCAGACCCAGGGTAACAGTCATGGAGAGGGCGAGGGGGAGAAGAATATTCCTGCATTCTGTGTGCCCACCTCTACACAGGAACTTTCATTCTCAAAGCAGTCCTGTGAGTACAGAGTCCAGAGAGGGACAAGGACTTGCAAGTTGGTAAGAGTCAGGATTTGACCTTGGCTGTGTCAGATAATAGAGTCTACATTTCTTTACAAGAGGCTGTGTTGCCTCTGATGGAGTTGTGGGGGCACAAAAAAGCAGAGATATCCCCAGGATGCAATTCTGGTTCAGCATGAGGAAGAACTTCTGCTTGCCATGGAATGTGCTGCCTTGTTAGTAGCGAGGACCCTGCCACTGGAGACATTCAAAGGTGGTCATGGAAATGTCAGCAATGCTATAAGGAGTGGGGCTCAGATCAGATAATATCCAGATGCTGTAGTTTGGCCTTGTATTATATTTCAGATGTTTTTCTTTTCTGGCTCTTTAGCAATAAATCCATTTATTCAGCAAAAAATAAATTATGTGTGCTGAAAGCAAGCAGAAGATATGTCTCTGTTCTCAGCTTCCCTCTAAGGAAAGAATCTCAAAACTGCCCTTTCTCTGAACTTGTGCCAGGGTCTCAGCAGGACCCAAGGAGAGCAGGAAGCCCAGCCCTGCCTCCCTGCACAACCTCCTGTGGGGAGACCTTGGGCTCTGGCAACAGCAGAGCTGGTTCCAGTCTCTGCCCTGCTGCTGCCTGGCAGGGGGCTTGGACAAGTCTGCTGACAACTTCCTATTTCAGTTTCCTCATCTGCAAAATAGGAGAATAGTACCAGTAAAGGTTCACACGTAGTAGGAACTCTTCTCCCTCCCTGTTTCAGGAAGGCAGTCGGTGGGAAGCCCAGCCTGGGTCCCTGTGAGCAGCAGGAAGGAGATGCGGCTGCTGTTGGCCCTGTTGGGGGTCCTGCTGGGGGCGCCCAGGGCTCCATCTTTGTCCCTTGAGGCCTCTGAGGAAATGGAGCTGGGTATGGCCTCCAAGGAGGGAAAGGGTGGAAGGGGTGGGCAGCTGGAGGGGCTGCTGGCTGAGTGAGGCTGGAGAGGATCCTGGCCCAGGCCCTGAAGAGGTGGCAGCAGGGCAGGGTCCAACCATTGAGACTCAGTTTCTGGCTCCCAGCAAGCATCTACCTATCTCTGTGTCCACAAGAGAGGATTGGCTTTGCAGGGTGAAGGACCCTGAGCTGGGCTGCACAGCTGGTGGTGAGCCTTTTCAGCTGTGTGTGTGTTATGTGTGTATATGTGTTCTGTGCACTGGATGTGTGGCTTGGGAGGCCCAGGCAGCATGTATGGTATTTGCACTATGAGTGTGATGTGCCCTGGAGGTGTGTGTGCCTTATTTGTGGCAACTACAGCATGTGGCATGTGTGTGTGTATCTTGGGCAGTGGCATGTCCAGTCCAGCTATGCACTGTGCGTGTGATATGTTTCAGAGGCATGGCATTTGCCCTGCCTGTAGTGTGTGTAGCATTTGACTCTGTGTGTGTATGTGTGTGTGTGAAGGAGAAGTGGGTATCTAGCATGTGTCAAGGGGTGCTTGTGCACTGTGTGTGCAGCATGTTCTCCACAGTCAGGTTGCTGCCTTAGCTGAGGCCACAGGGCTCACTGACCTCTGCCCTCACCCCACAGAGCCCTGCCTGGCCCCCAGCCTAGAGCAGCAAGAGCAGGAACTGACCGTGGCCCTTGGGCAGCCTGTGCGGTTATGCTGTGGGCGGGCTGAGCGTGGTGGTCACTGGTACAAGGAGGGCAGCCGTCTAGCGCCTGCTGGTCGGGTACGAGGCTGGAGGGGCCGCTTGGAGATCGCCAGCTTCCTACCTGAGGATGCTGGCTGCTACCTCTGCCTGGCACGAGGCTCCATGCTTGTCCTACACAATGTCACCTTGGTTTTGGATGGTAAGGGGGTCCAGCAGGGGCTAAGGGGTACCTAAGGAGCTATACTCTCTTCATCCTGACCTTAGATGCCTCCCTCTGTCCCTAATATAGACTCTTTGACCTCCAGCAATGGTGATGAGGAACCCAAGGCCCCCAGAGTCCCCTCAAATGGGCACATTTACCCCCAGCAAGGTCAGTATGAGTCCTCAAGGACCCATTTCCCTACCTTCCAGCTGGGTCACTGAGAAGAGACCCATGTGGAAATACTTGGGGTGCTAAGGTCGCCCTTCCCCTTCCCTCCAGCACCCTACTGGACACATCCCCAGCGCATGGAGAAGAAACTGCATGCAGTGCCTGCTGGAAATACCATCAAGTTCCGCTGCCCAGCGGCAGGCAACCCTGTGCCCACTATCCGCTGGCTTAAGGATGGACAAGACTTCCGTGGGGAGCATCGCATTGGAGGTATTCGGGTGAGTCTCTGGGTTCCCAGACCGTCTGCTCCTTCATTTTCACTCCCCCACTGGTCTCCTTATACCTATATATGATTCCTTCTCTAATAAGGAAGGTAACTGTGGGCCCTAGAAGGAGCACTAGACTGACTTGGACAGCTCTGGTTCAAGTTCCCACTCTGTCACTCTCCAGCAGGTGACTTAACCTCTCAGCTTTAGTTTTCCTTGTAAAGTGGGAAGAATCATTGACTGACAGGTATCAGATAAGTTTTCGCAGCTCATTCTCATGATGAGACCCTGCAGGTCAGCTTCAGGTTGTGGTGAGGAAGTTGAAACTCAGAGCAAAGACTGACTCACGGTGGTACAGCTAAGAAGAGGTTGAACTAAAAGACTCAAACCCAGGGCCCAGACACTTCTTAGAACTTTCTCCTTTTGCCTCAAGGGCCCTGGCCTAGAGAGCTTAAGAAGATCCCTGTGTGGCAGGATCTAGCTTCCTTATGCCCTGGCACCCTGAGTGGAGATGGCCCCTAATAAATAATTCCCCCGCCCCCAGCTGCGCCACCAGCACTGGAGCCTGGTGATGGAAAGTGTGGTGCCCTCGGACCGTGGCACATACACCTGCCTCGTGGAGAACTCTCTGGGAAGCATCCACTATAGCTATCTGCTGGACGTGCTAGGTGAGCACATGGGCAGGAAGGTGGTGTATGTGGAAGCCCTAATACCCTCAGGTAGGGCCCAGGCTGTCAGGTAACTTGGACTTAGTCTTGATGACTCAAGTTACTCAAAGTGTCCAGCTGGTGGTCAGAGGGAAGCACAGGGCATAGCATGGGCCTGGAGGAAGAGGGGTTGGTTGAGAGGAAAATGGGAAAGATGTGGAGGCAGAGGGCACAGGCTGAGTAAAGGCCCTGGTGTAATGGATGCAAAGCATTTGTGGGGAGGTATATACCCGTGGTGTGGCATTTAAGTAGGGAGCCAGGCCATAGAGGGTTTTGAATGCTAGGTTGAGATGTTGTCCTTGACCCCAAGGGTAATAGGGAGTCATGGAATGTTTAAGTAGGATAATCAGGGGATGGACAAGGTCTAAGCTGCCTATCAGGAAGCTCCATTCCTTGAGCTAGGTGGGGAGGGCACTGAAGGCAGGTGACCAGGGTGATTCTGTAGGTGCCACTGGTCAGAGTTGATGACCTGTCCTGGCCCCCAGAGCGGTCCCCGCACCGGCCCATCCTGCAGGCAGGGCTCCCGGCCAACACCACAGCTGTGGCAGGCAGCGATGTGGAGCTTCTGTGCAAGGTGTACAGTGATGCCCAGCCCCACATCCAGTGGCTGAAGCACATCGTCATCAATGGCAGCAGCTTTGGTGCTGATGGCTTCCCCTATGTGCAAGTCCTAAAGGTGCAGCCCCCACAGGCCCCTGAGCCTTACTGTTCTCTCACAGGGGGTGGGAAGGTGGGCCCCAGCTCCCTTTCTGTCTACAGTGTGGCCCTTGCTGGGACTCTGAGTGTGTCTCCCATCCCAGACAGCAGACATCAATAGCTCAGAAGTAGAGGTCCTATACCTTCGGAATGTGTCCACCGAGGATGCGGGAGAGTACACCTGCCTGGCAGGCAACTCCATTGGCCTTTCCTACCAGTCAGCCTGGCTAACGGTGCTGCCAGGTGAGCACCTGAGGGGCCTACCAAGAGAGGCTGTGGGAACCCACTCCAATCTAGCAATGAACGGTATGACCTGTTAGGACAGTCTCCTTGGCCTGTAAGGTCTGGGTGAGATGTGATATGTGGATTTGTGTGTCTGATTCTGCATGTAGCAGTCCCTCTGTGCATGTCCATGTGTGACTGTTGGTGTAACCCTCAAGAGCAAGGGTATGAGGGACTGGGTATACCCATAGCTTTCGTGGTGTGTTCCTTTGTGTACTGGGAGCCATAAGGGCTTGAGTTAGGGGGGATGGTGCTGGCCATCTGACCACTGACCAGTCAGTTATCTGTCTGTGTGTGTGTGTGTGGGCAGAGGAGGACTTCACATGGACAGCAGCAGCACCCGAGGCCAGGTACACAGACATCATCTTGTACGTGTCAGGCTCTCTGGCTTTGATTGTGCTCTTGCTGCTGGCTGGGCTGTATCACGGGCAGGTGCTCCGTGGCCGGCACCCCCGGCAGCCAGCAACTGTGCAGAAGTTATCCCGCTTCCCTCTGGCCCGACAGGTACCATGCCATGCCCCACCCCTGTGTCCCCATAGTGAGCCTCTCCGCCTGCCTCCCAGCTCTGCAGGCCGACCAAGCCTCCCACTTTGCAGTTCTCTCTGGAGTCAGGCTCCTCAGCCAAGTCAAGCTCATCCCTGGTGCGGGGTGTCCGTCTCTCCTCCAGTGGCCCCCCCTTGCTTGCAGGCCTCGTGAGTCTAGACCTACCTCTTGACCCACTGTGGGAATTCCCCCGGGACAGGTACACTGCTTGGAGTGAGGGTGGGAATGCAGGCTCTGGGCAGCAGTCATGGCCAGACAGCTGAGGTCGTGGCTTTCTCACATCCAGGCTGGTGCTCGGGAAGCCCCTGGGTGAGGGCTGCTTCGGGCAGGTGGTGCGTGCAGAGGCTTTCGGCATGGACCCTGCCCGACCTGACCAAGCCAGCACTGTTGCCGTCAAGATGCTCAAGGGTGAGTGTGGTGGCCTGGGGGAGGTGCTATGGCCTTGGGACTAACAGAAGGGGCTCATGGTGCTATCAGGTAAGCACTGGAGGCCAGGCAAGGCCTAGGACACAACTCTACCACTGACCCTGGCAAATCAGTTCTGAACCCGTTTCCTCACATGTTAACATGATAGATGCTACCCCTCAGCTGAGGTTTGTGGAAAGTGCTTGATGTATAAAATCCTAACTGTTGGGATGATGATGACTACTAGGATTTGGGTTGATGGGGTTTGATATCCCATGTCAGCCTTGGCCTCAAATAACCTTGCCAGCTTCTCCGGTGTCTGCCTCATTCCTCATGATTCCCTCCCAATCACACCCTCAGCTCCCCCTGGTTGCTTACCCAGTCTGTCCCCATGTCCACCACTCTAGAAGAACAGCCCAAGCAGCAGCCCCAAAGTGCTTAGGACATACATGAAACCTACCGTCAGGGCCTCTTGCTACTGTCCCTCAGCCCCCTCTACAAGAGCAGCCCAAACCACTGTTCTGCTCCCCCGCCTCCCTCCTCTCTGCACAGCTGGGGCCACCTGGCACATTCTGGGAGACAGGGGTTGAGAAATGTGCATTGTACAGTCTGGGGGGGAGGGTATGTCATTGGCCCAGGGCCACAGGTCAGCCCTTGGTCCTCAGCCTCCTCAAAAAAAGCTGGAACAGCTTCTTTATAGCCTTCCTGAGCTGTACCCCACCGGCAGCTCCCTCAATTTTCAGGCCAGATAGCTGCCAGGCCCTGGACAGACAGACCTCAGGGCGCCAGCCTGCTTCCAACCCCCAGGAGCTCTCACCCCATTCAGGGACTAATGCCAAGCCCTCCAGACAGAGCTTCCTTCCTGTTTAGGGCTCTTCCTTCTCTCTGTCCTGTTTCCTCGTGCCACTTCCTGGAGGGCCTACCTCTTTTAGATCCTTGATCTTATTGCTTCCTTACAACTGCTGTAAGAGGTAGGGCATGATCTGTTGTCTCATTTCATATAAGAAGAACTTAAGGTTCAGGGAGGTAAGGAAACTTTCAAGGCCATATGGCCTAGTAGAGCTTAAAGCCCAGACCTTCCTGACTCTGCATCCAGCTCTCTGTGTGCTGTCCCCAGTCCTGCAGCCTCTCTTGTGTAGTCACCCTGGCTCTTGTCCTTGCAGACAATGCCTCTGACAAGGACTTGGCAGACCTGGTCTCTGAGATGGAGGTGATGAAGCTGATTGGCCGACATAAGAACATTATCAACTTGCTGGGTGTCTGTACCCAGGAAGGTAAGGCAGGGTGGGTTTAGTGCAGGGGTGGTTGGAGCACAGAGCCACAGCCTCAGCAACCTCCCTGTACCCCCCTCGCTTCCATAGGCCCCCTGTATGTGATTGTGGAATGTGCCGCCAAGGGAAATCTTCGGGAGTTCCTGAGGGCCCGGCGCCCCCCAGGCCCTGACCTCAGCCCTGATGGGCAGAGGAGCAGTGAGGGGCCACTCTCCTTCCCCATGCTGGTCTCCTGCGCCTACCAGGTAGCCCGAGGCATGCAATATCTGGAGTCAAGGAAGGTATGCACAGTCGGTAGCACTCTAGACCACTCCAACTGCTCAATCTGCATACTTTCTTAACCCAGCATTAAATGTCCCCTAATCTCCCTCTTTCCCCTTTTTGTATTACCCTGTCTAAATGTCTCCAAATCCTTCTGTACCCCCTCATAAATACACAGTTGACACTGCATGTCCCCATTCCTCACACACTCCCTAACTGATAGACAGGGCTAGGGAAGAAGCGATGCAAGAGAGAGGGGATGCAGGCCTTGAAGTTCGCCAGTGTAGGTCTCCCCTCTCTGAACTCAACTTCTTCATCTGTAAAATGAGTAGCTGATCCTTACCACACAGGGTCACTGTGAGCGAGGTAGTATGTACCCAGCTCCCAGCCATGTGTCCTAATAAACAAAGTCCCCTGCCCTGCCCCCAGTGCATCCACCGGGACCTGGCTGCCCGCAACGTGCTAGTGACAGAAGACAATGTGATGAAAATTGCTGACTTTGGGCTGGCCCGTGGCATCCACCACATTGACTACTACAAGAAAACCAGCAATGTGAGGGAGACGGGACAAAGGTGGATGGGGTGGGGGAGCACCAGGATCTGTGGGACTTGGAAGGGCACCCATGCTTCCTCCCCCTGTCCAGGGCCGCCTGCCTGTCAAGTGGATGGCACCTGAGGCCTTATTTGACCGAGTCTACACACACCAGAGTGATGTGTGAGTCCTGGATGTTGAGAGTCTGGAGTGTCTGCCAGCAATCACTGTCCTACCCCACGGAAAGGGTAGAGCACTTGCCCAAGGCCATGCAGCCCTGGGGCCTGAGTGAGACCAAACTCCAAAAGAAGTCCCACCCTGCACCCATGGGCTCCCCAGCTCAACCCCAGGAGCAGGGAGTGAAGCTCTGCCCTGCTGAGCCCTGGTCCTGCCTCTAGGTGGTCATTTGGGATCCTGCTATGGGAGATCTTCACCCTCGGGGGCTCCCCGTACCCCGGCATCCCTGTGGAGGAGCTGTTTTCACTGCTGCGGGAGGGCCATCGGATGGACCGGCCCCCGAACTGCCCCCCAGAGCTGTGAGGCCCTACCCTACTTCACCCACTTCCCAGTCTTCATTCTCCGCCCTTACCTTGGCCTCAGGGTCTGGCCCTGGGGAGTGGTCAGCACCAACTCACTGTTGCCACCTCCTCCCTGACAGGGCCAGGAGGTCCTGACCTGGCTTCTGTGCCCTCCCACTGAATGGCCCCATCTGCTCCTCACTAAGCCCTGCCCCTTCACACCCACCCTGCAGGGCCATGAGCTCCTCCCCTTACCTGGAGCTTCTGACCCTCTACCCCACCTCTTCCAGGTATGGGTTGATGCGTGAGTGCTGGCATGCAGCTCCTTCTCAGAGGCCCACTTTCAAGCAGCTGGTTGAGGCTCTGGACAAGGTCCTGCTGGCCATCTCAGAGGAGGTACTGCTCCCTTCTTAATTCACGATGCCCCTCTGCCTGCTCCCCTCTGGGCCTCATCTAAGCTGACTACCAGAGCTGACCAGCACTGTTCCCTATAGTACCTTGACCTCCGCCTGACCTTTGGACCCTACTCTCCTGCCAGTGGGGATGCCAGCAGTACCTGCTCCTCCAGTGACTCTGTCTTCAGCCATGACCCCCTGCCACCGGGGCCCAGCTCCTACCCCTTCCCCACTATGCAGACTTGAGCAGGGGCTCTAGGTTGTACAGGCAAGCTGGCCAGTGGCCTTGGCTGCCTGGCTCAGCTATAGCCTAGCAATGCTCGACCTTGGCAGCCCTATGCCATGACCTCAGGGTACTGTCCCAGATCTGTTTTGGTTTTGGAGAAGTCTGTCCTTGGTCTTGGTCCCTAGTTGAGGCCTCCTGTTCCCGAAACTGAGTAAAGCCCCAATCTCAAGACCTACCCTTGCTCTTGGAGTCATGGCCCCAGGGTCCTGATGACCTGAGCATGAGGGTACTGCTTGGCCTTCTGGGCCTTGGCACTCAGTCCTGTTCCAGGGGTTTGGCTGGACCAGGCTGCAGGGCTGTTCTAAACCCCCCTGCTTCCTTATACCAAGAGAGGTCTTGGGTCTCTGAACCCCATTTCCCTAGGCCTCCTGTGCCTCCCTCTGCTGCTTGTCTCAGCATCTTGGTGGGAGGACATTGGCCCCTGTGCTCCTAGCTGAGAGGCTGGAAGCCTGCCAAAGAGACGAAAGCAAATGGCTTTTTATAAATTATTTTTTCAAAATTAAGTCTCTGTGTGCCTGCCATCTTCCCTGCTGCGGATAGAGGGGGAACAGAGTGGAGGGATTTTCCAAGCTTGAAATTTTACCTGGTGACACAGACTGAGGGGTTGTATGCCTTGGGTATACATTCACGTTCATCTGCCTCGGTGAACCCAGGAGCCTGCATGCACCTCTGTCTTGGTCTGCCTGTCTTACCGGCACCATCTTGTGTACGTGATGGTGTTAACAAGCACTAATGGGCAGAGGGGTCCATTTGGAACCATCCCTGGGCAGGACTCTTGTACCCTCTGTACATGCGTGTGTGTGTGTGTGTGCGTGTGCACACATGCCCTGGGACTATCCCTCTCACAGTACCCCTCCCCCATCTGCTCAGCATTAACCAAGCTGACTTTTATAACACAGCATAAAAGTCTGAAACCCAGCTTCGAGGCTGCTGCCCGCTCCCACGCCCTCCAGCTCGGGCTGGGGGTGGGTGGGGGCTGTGCCCGCCCCGCTCCACCCTGGCCAGTCTCCCAGGCAGCAGCTGGTTGCCGCCAGGCTGAGCTGCAGCTGTCCCTGTGTGCCTGGTCATCCCCTGGGGAGGCCATTATGGCCCTGTTCTCAGACACCCTTTGCAGGGGTGGGTGATCAGCTTCCCAGGGCTCTGAGCTTGGAAACTTCCCCAGCTCCTTTACAGCAGTTGCCGCTCTCTAGCCCTGACCCCGGAGTGGAGGTACCTGCCCCAGTGCCTGGGGCTTTCTCCTGCCCTGTCTCCTTGGGACAGGAGAAATGCCCAGCCAGGCAGATCCTTTGGGGACAATGCCTGGATTGCCCCATGACCTCCCAGGGGGTGACAGCTGAAAATATATGCAGGGTCAGAAAAGACTGCATGTAAGAATTTGGGACTAGAGCCCTCCTGGAAGACTGAGCAGCCGCTCACGGCCATGCTTCTCTTCCTGCTCTGGATCCCCTCACCCTGACTATGCGCTCTCTGACTCACTCATGTCCCCCGACCCCCTAAACTGCACATCCTCCACAACTCCATCTCAGAGGAGGTACCAGGCCAGAAAACAAGGACTTGTCCCTGACCACTTCCTTTCCCTCAGGAAGCCAATTCCTTAATGGAGTGGAGAGAACACTGGATTTGCAGCCAGCCACACACTTCAAAGCCTGCTGCTTCCTGTGTCCTGAGGCCAGGTGCTGTCCCTTCTCTGGTGGTCACATTCTTCACCCATATGAGTAAGGTGCTTCTACCTCCCAGGGCTTAGGGTTTAGGATGAATTGAGTCTTGGATGAGCACATATTTGGGGAAGGACACCATGCAGCATTCACATGGGTTATGCTGAGTATCCCACTGAACTGTGCATGGGCTTCATAGCAGCCCTAGTGTCCCCCTCTCAGGCAAGGTCTCCTCTGTCTCCTTCCCTCCCATTCTGTGCATGTTGCTCCAGAGGCAGCTTCCAAAAGCTGCTCTTAGCTTATGCTCCTCCTGCTCTCAAAGACCCTCACTGGCTCCCTGGAGCCCCCAAACTTTCTGACTTGAGCCCCTCTCCCAAATTTTGAATCTTCCCCTGGTGGTCACTGGCCAGTGTATGTGTTCTTCACCAGCCCAGTCAAAGGACAGGCAGATTACTCAAACCCCACCTGGAGAAGGAAAGGGTTGGGAGGCTAGAGCAGTAAGTACAGGGGATGACGAATGAAAGCCCCCATATTCCACTTGCCCACTGTGAGCCCACTGCCCTGCCTGGCTCAGCCACCTACTGCTGTGCTTCACCATATAAAGATGAATCTTCCCAATTTAATGGAGAAACCGAGGGTATGACAGGCACAGGGTCACAAGGATGGGGGACTAAGGAAGAAGCTGAATTGATTCCCTGGCCCAGGTTCCCTTCAGATCCTGTACATGTAGAGGCCAGAGTGACAGGGGCAGCTGTTGCATGGTAAGTCCCAGGTGCTAGGAGGGGCTCGGCTGCCCACCCTGTGCCCCCTCCTTGCCAGCATCCCTGGCAGCGCACACTCACTAAGGCCCTTCCAAATTCCCCATGTCCTGTGTAAGAATGAGACAGATGCTGCTAATTCCCCCACATGAGTTTTGCTGCTCCATCTCCCCTCCCTCAGTTTGCTCTGGGCAGCACGGCAGCATCTGGAGCCTGGTACTCTTGTTCCACCTGGGTTCTGAGTAGCTTCCTAGCTAGTAGTGCTGGCCTCGGGAGCCTGTAGAAAAAGCACTGTGTCACCTCCTATCTGCCACTTACTGTTTGCTAGTTGCCACTTAGGGCTCTGGTGGGAGCAACAGATGGCCACTCTAATCTGGGAATTCGGTGCCAAGGGGCAAGAGGTTGCTGGGAGGAAATAAGCACCTGGGAGGCAGGTTAGATTGCCCTGTGTGAGTGTGTGTGTGTGCGCGTGCTATGACCAAAGTTACCCTCTGTGAGCCTGAAACAGGAATGATGATAGGCCTGAGTGGTTATAAGTGCTCAGTCAACAACGGCTGTTGTTGCTACAGCCCAGGGATTAGGAGGGAATGGCCCCCAGGGCCAGGTTGCCATGACCTCATTCTCTCCTTGTGGCAACCCTTCTAGGAAGGCATTCTTGGCCCTGTTGCCCAGATGAGGCTCAGGAGGAGGAAGTGACTGTCCCAAGGTTACACGGGGAGTAGTCGGGGGAGTAGGAGAGTCAGTGCTCCAGACCAGGTGCTCTGTCCCACCGCAGAGCTCATTCCCACAGCCCTCGTGGTCAGCTGGACCATTCCAAGGACCAGGACAGTCTCTGAGTTTGCAAGAAGCAGGGGACATCTGTTAATGGGATGTTCACACACATGGTGGACAGACATTCACAACACCCAAACACAGATGTATGTGCTGGGCGCCGCCCTTTTGAGTTCCAGACCGTGGCCTTCGCCCCTGCCATCTCCGGGCCCTGACATGGATCGTTCCTTCCTAGAGAGCACTCTTTCTCCCTGCCTCACCTGGCCAAGCCCTACTCACCCTTTATATCTCACTCGAACCTCATTTCTAAAAGTGGCCTACCCTGGACCCTGCTTCCAGCTTGGGCATCCCTTCACATTGAGCACCCCCATTCAGGGGCTCTCATCGCTGTAGAAAAGAGATGCTCTCAGTAGTGTTCTTCCAAACTGAGCACCAATAAGCAACCACTGCTTTGATAGATATTTTAAATCAGTAGTTCTAAAATCTTAGTATATATTAGAATCTTCTGGAGGGCTTGGATTGCTGGGCCTCACCCCAGTATTTTGTGTTTGGTAAGTTCAAGGTGAAGCCTGGGAATCTGCATTTCCAATGGATGCAGTTGTTGCTGGTCTGGGGGCCATACTTTGAGAACCATGATTTTAAAGAGGCATAACATGTACATAGTTTCAACAAATTAAACGAAAACTCCAAGGCACAAAACCTTTTCAGTGAAAAACAACATTCTTACACCTACTCTCTCCACTCCCCAGGGGAAACTTCTGCCCCCATCTACTGAGTCTTCTTGTATGGTCACCCCTCCCCTGCTTGCAGTATAGTAGTTACTGTCCTGGCACCCAGTCTGGGACCACACCTGGCAGAACTGAAGTGGAGAAGACCCATCCCCAGGTACAGACACACTCATGTGTGCACACTCAGCTGCCACCGCCCACCCCTTCCCACACTCCAGGACTCTTAACTGGGAGTCCCCCTCCCACCCCTCCACCTGCTGTAGGATTTAGCCTAATCCCAGAGTATGTGCGTAGAGGCAGCTGCAACTCTTTCTGGGGGGAGAAGGCTTCCCTCCAAAGGAAATCTCTTTTTATTCTCTTGCTACCGAAATTTGACCTTCGGCACCTGGGCCCAACTGCTGGAACCTGTCCCCAAGAAGTGGCTGAGGAGGGGGCGTGAAATTGCCAACAGCTGAACTCACCCAGCCTTTCCCCACATCCTCTCCAACCCAATGACTGCTCACATTCCACAGCAGCAGCCCTTTCCGGGCCCCCCAGTGCCAGGCTCAGGTTTGTGTACTGGTACTTGGGGCCCAGCCTGATCTAGCCCTACTGATCTCACTACCTGGCTCTGTGGGGTATGGCTTCCAAACCCCCAGGACTCAGCTCAGTTATCCCCTCTTCCAGGAAGCTCACACTGACCTCACTGCACAGCCTAGGCATTCCACATCTATGCATGATTGGAATGACCCATTTATGTCTCTCTCTGTCCCACCCATGGCAGGAGCCTCTTAGCTTCCACTTCAGAACTAGGCCCAGTGCAGAGCAGGCCACCCTAACGTTTGTCAAGCAACTGAATGGCATGGTAAGGATAATTCTGAGGCTTCTGGCCTTCCCTTCCTCAGCTGACACCCTTAGAAAATCAGGTTCCAGGAAAGGAGCGTTGGCTGGCAGGGCTGGAAAAAGGAGACCCATATCAGACAGCACAGCCCTAGAATCTTTTTAAAGGTGCACTTTCAGGTCCTGGGGTACTGAGATTATTATTACTGCTGGGGGACCCATTGCATGTGCTAAGGAGGGCTTAAGCAACACAGCTGAGCTTTTGCTCCCATGGGCATGAGCCCCTTCCAAGCAGCCCCTAAAGAGACAGGTTTGAGATAAATGATGGATGGCAAGGGTTTTCTGGAGCTGCACTGACCAACAGAACTTTCTGCAGTGATGGAAAAGCTGTGTGTCTGTGCTGCCCAAGGCAGCAG